TGGAAGCCATCTTTTGCATTGGGCCTTCTGGCCTGCCATATTTACTGCTGTGGGAAAATGGGAGGGGGAACTATATGGAGTATGGGAGAGATATATAGTCTAAATAACATTCCTTTCTCAGAGAGTCAAGGACATCTTGCCCTGCACCTGGAGTGGTGTGACTGGGAGGCATCTCCAATTTTGGATGGTGCTTGATTGGGTCATGTGATGGACATGTGGGTGCTGGGCAGAGGCTTGGACTTTCATTTGGGTGGTGAAAACCTTGGAAGCTTTCAGATTTGGGTTTTCCCAGATGTGCCAATATGACATCTCTAATAAAATGGAACTTTGAGGAACTTCAAGCCTTGGAGTCTTCTTTCGTTGGGGGTGTTACTCGGAACCTTGACACATGGTTTCCAATCAAAGGTTGCAAAAATTAACCAGGTGTCCAGAGGCTGAGGAAGCTGGACAGTAAAAAAATAGGGTCTGAGTTAAGGTAATTTGCCGTCTTAATTGCCTTCACCTTAACCTTCATTGCCCTAAACCTAACCCAATTCTTCCATTAGGCATAGTGGGACCGTGGTTACCTACGGTGGGATGTCAAAACAGCCTGTGACCGTCCCAGTGGTGAGTAGCCCTTGGCCAGTCTATTTATCCTGCACATGTTCCCTTTCCCGAGATAACACAGGTAGCTGTCCTCACCTTATGACCACAATTGAGCTCAACATTTCTGTTGCTAAGTGAGACAGTTGTTAAGTGAATATTGCCCCATTTCACGACCTTTGTTGTCACCGTTGTTAAGCAAATCACTGAAGTTATTAAGATAGTGTCACTGTTGTTAAATGAATCTGGCTTCCCCATTGACTTTGCCTGTCAGAAGGCCACAAAAAGTGATTGCAGGAGCCCCCAGGACACTGCAACTGTCATCAATAGGAGTCAGTTGCCAAGCATCTGAATTTTGATCACATGACCATGGGGAATGCTGCAATGGTCGTAAGTGTGAAAAATGGTCATAAATCACTTTTTGTCAGTGGCGTAACTTGGAACGGTCACTAAACGAACTGTTATAAATCAAGGACAACCTGGATGCTATTTCTATCTGTGCATTAGGTTTTCCAGTTGTTAGCGCAGGATCGCTAAGAGAAAAACCATTCTGATATCCCCGCATTGTGATGCTAAATTCTCCCCCAATCCCAAGATTGTATTTTGGAATGTGTGAATCTTAATTTCCTCTGCAGAGTGCACTGATCTTTAAGAATGTCAACGTTCGTGGCTTTTGGATGACCCAGTGGAAGAGGGACAATGCCCACAGTAAGTGGCCCGTGTGTTATGTTTATATTAGAAACTGATGAAATCTGCCTTCAGCTCTTAATTTTTCATCTCTCTGATTTAGTGGATTAAAATGCCTACTAAATAACCTTCAGCCAGTGAAAATAAATACATGAAAATACATGAAAATTGAAAGAGCTACGTGTACTAGAAAAATAAGGCAACGGGAAAAGAAGGAACTGTGGTTCCTTAACTTAGTGAAAAGGGTTATAGAAGTGTTCTGTCCCCCACTACATGTTTAATTTAATTTAATTTAATTTATTAGATTTATAGGCCGCCCAATCCCGGAGGACTCCGGGCGGCTTACACAGAACAAGAAAAGAAAAACAAACAAAAAATAAAAATAAATAAATAAAATAAATCGCCTGTGTGCAGCTCAACATACAGCTAAACCCACCTATCCTCCAATAAAATCCCAAAATTTTATTTAAAATTTAAAAATTCTACAGACCATGTGCTTAGCTCTGAATGCTTATTGAAAGAACAGGATATGGTGAAACTGGGGAAAATAGGGATACACACAATGAGAACCAAATACAAGTTAGACAGTATTAAGTTACTGCTGAACAATTAATAAATACAAGCAATTTAAATCTCACCAGCAATGCTGTGTGTGTGTGTGTGTGTGTGTGTGTGTGTGTGTGT